AAATAACAGTTTTTGTTAACAGTATATATCTATATATTTTTTCTAAATAAAGTCGAATAGGCATTTTTCATGTTCTATATCTACTAGATGGAGATTCTTCTTATTTATAATTTGGAAAATTTTAGCTTAGATGTTTATATACCCAATCCTTAATATGTTGATACCCAATAGTTCTTAATGTTCTTTTTTTGAATCAATAGTCAAAATGGAAAAAAAAATGATAAACATGCATAATCTTTTAACTAGTATACTACTATTATTGTATATCTATACACTAATTGGTGAGCAAAACACACCTTATAGGTGTTTACATTAAAAAACTAATTTTCTCTATAATAAAAGAGTAATAATAATTAAAAGCCTAGTTTTAAAAAATAAAACAAGATATTAAAAATGCAAAGAGTAGAAGATTTTATAAGTCATTGAAATTTAATAACTACAAACAATTTTATTTGTAGTGATTAAGTGTAAATCCTTACTTATATGAGGGTAAAATTGATATAATAAAAAAATGAAAAAATTTTAACAACTGATGGAGTATTTGCAGGTCCCATCGTAACAAGATCGATCATGGGTTTCGTTTACTCGATTACTCCTGCGGGCTCTGTTTTGTGATCATGATTCATGAGGCCTTTTTGCTATATCCTACTGGGATTCACAGCAAGTTCTAGTTACCGCACGAGAGAGACGACGCGCTCCTTGGTGCGTGAACATTTACAAGAATACAAGTCACATGCGTGGCGGTTCAGTAAATTTCGCGGCGCCACTAATTTAACCAGCAACCACATGCTGCTGTCCGATTCCCCAACGATTGGACGCCTTCGCTCCTTCCAAAAACGACACCGATTCGACACTAATTCACCGGCTATACGACACCGTCATCGGCCCTCAAGTACCAGTTTCCTCCCACGACACCGTTTTATCTGGCTTTTATTAACGCAATCCGAGGTTACTGTAATAAGAGACGTTGACCGTACAAATCTACTTATACGTATTGCTCTCTTCAGTCTGCCCTCTGATTTCTCATCATCCCAAGCTAGCCAGGGACCATTTCTCTGCAAGAATTCACAAAACCCCACTGCCCCATACCCTACGGCCCCTCCCATCTTCACTCAAAAAAGCCAGAAATAAAAAAAAGAAAAGGCATCTCAGGGAGAAAATCAACATTTGTCAGAAGTTCTACAATGGCTGAATCAGGGTGGAGAGCATGAAGATTACAGCCGGCAAGAAGGAGCTCCAGCAGGGTCCATCTTCGACACCATTCAACCCTTTTCAAAGTTCCGATCTTTTAGAAAAACCCAGTAAGTCTAGCAAGCCACATCGTAGGAAAAGTAGGGGTTCCGGCAATGGAGTTCGGCTGAGAAAAGACTCTGGAGGAAAGAGGAGCAGCAGACCGGAGACCCCTTTACTCCGATGGAAGTTTGATGAAGTTGGTGTTGAAGATGAAAATGAACTTTGTAAGCAGGAAAAGTCGCCGCCAGAGGCTGGTCGGAACAATGGCCGGAAAGTTAGAGCTGTGGTTTCGGCTAGGAAGCTTGCTGCTGGGATTTGGAGAATGCAATTGCCGGAGGTTTCTACAGGCGGCGGTGGAAAGTTAGGGTTCCAGGTAGTGTGATGCAAAAGATCCTGTCTTTAGAGGCTTATTTCTGTATAGGTTGAAATTAAGGGATAATTAATGAATGCTTGGTTTTCTATGTTGTGGAGCAAAAAGTTGATCAGTTCGTACTAATCTTGCATTAACTCAACTCCCCTTCATTTTTGGTTGGGATGCTTAGCTGAAATTTTCATTGAAATGCATCGGTATTTTTATTTTTTTGACTTCCTGGAGAAACTTTTGACATCCTTTTATGGTACTGTGTTATCTTAAACAGACAGACATTTTGGATTGAGCACTACACGGTCATTTTGTTTTTTTTGGAAGAGCTGTTTAAGTTATATAGGATCATATTTGTTGCCATTGACGATTTTAAATCATATCAGGTTTAGTGCTGTTTTAGATCTGGAGCTGATTTGTCTCGAGTTTGGAGCCGTTAAAATTTTGTTTTGTCAGGTAAAGGACTGAGATTCAGTATGTTGTTGTTACCTTTCTTTTCTTTTCTTTCTTGCAGTCTGGAGATAATTACGTCGGGGTCCCCTTCCATGGTTATCATAATTGCAAAGTGCACGATTGTACAACGAAGGATCTGGTGCGAAGTCCCCAGTCCGTTACTGGTCCAAGAAATGGGTTTTCCTCTAAGGTATGTGTGGTCCTTGTCAGGTTTGTTCTTCCGAAGCTGTTTATGTCTACTAAATATGGTAGATCTAGGACTACATACTTGTATGGGCTAAGACAGAAACGTCTTTTAGAAACCAAGGAGGACCTGGACCATATGGTGAGGCATGAGGCATGACTCGTTTAGCATAAGTAAGAGTGGCGACTGATGACCATGCATCGAACCCCTCTAAGAGCAGATGTTCTTCTTTAACATGCATTGAACTCCTCTACGAGCAAATGTTCTTCTTGAAACTAGTAATTTGGTCATTAAAAGGTTGTATTAACCATATGATAAGTTTCGGAGGACTCGATAGTTTCAATCACCAGAGAGATACTTATCCTGCGATTTATTGTTTTCCTGTTGGTTCTGGATTATCATGATCTGATTGTGGGGGAACTGAATGATACCTTGTAGGCTGAATCCTCATTTCAACTCTCCAACTCTGCAATGGAAGGTGCAACGAAATGGGATCCTGTTGGCTGGAAAACATCCAATGAAGTAAAACAGATATTTGGGCAGCAAAAGCAGTTTGACCAGGAAGCAAGAGCTTCAGCAGCTATATCTGCCCTAGAGACACAACTTGAGCAGGCTCGATCACAGATTCATGAACTTGAACTGGAGAGACGGACCTCAAAAAAGAAACTTGAACATTTTCTGAAGAAACTCAGTGAAGAAAAGGCTGCATGGCGTAGCAGAGAACATGAGAAAGTTCGTGTAATTATTGATGACATCAAAGCTGACTTGAGCAGAGAGAGGAAAAATCGCCAAAGACTGGAAATTGTGAACTCCAAGCTGGTTAACGAGTTGGCTGAGACCAAGTTATCGGCGAAGTGTTATATGCAGGACTATGAGAAAGAGCGCAAGGCCAGAGAATTGATAGAGGAAGTATGTGATGAACTAGCTAAGGAAATTGGAGAAGACAAGGCTGAAGTTGAAGCATTGAAGAGGGAAGCTCTGAAGCTCAGGGAGGAAGTCGATGAAGAGAGAAAAATGTTGCAGATGGCTGAGGTCTGGCGGGAGGAACGGGTTCAGATGAAACTGATAGATGCAAAGGTGGCACTTGAAGAGCGGTACAGTGACATGAATAGGCTAATAGCAGAACTGGAGTCATTTCTGAGTTCAAGAGGTGCAATCCGAGATTCTGAGGAGATAAGAATGGCAGAGCTCCTTCGACAGGCTGGTACCTCTGTGAATGTTAAGGATGTCAGTGAGTTCACATATGAGCCCCCAAATCTGGATGATATATTCTCTGTATTTGAAGATGTTAATTACGGTGAACCCAATGAGAGACAGATTGAACCATGTGTTGCATATAGTCCTGCCAGTCATGCTTCGAAGATTCGTACAGTGAGTCCTGAAATTAATGCGTTTAAAAAAGACATTATGCAGAGACATTCTAACGTGTTTGTCGATCAGAGTGGCACGCTAGAAGAGGAGGGAAGCGAATGGGAAACTGCGAGCCATCCTGAGGATCAGGACTCTAGTTATTCACCAGATGGAAGTGATCCATCTGTTGAGAAAGATCACCAAGACAGTAATGTTTCTAGAACTTGTACAGAATGGGAAGCAAATGTTTGTGATGGGACACCAATCACAGAGATCAGTGAAGTCTGCTCTGTACCTACTAGGCAACTGAAGAAGGCGTCCTCCATTTCTAGGCTCTGGAGATCATACCCAAGCAATAGTGATAATTACAAAATCATATCCGTGGAGGGAATGAACGGAAGACTTTCCAATGGAAGGCTTTCAAATGGGGCTTTGATTTCTTCAGAATGTGGTTCAGGTAAAGATGGGCTCAGTCCACCAGACATGGCTGGACAATGGAGTTCACCTGAAGCGGGAAATCCACACATAACCAAAGGCATGAAAGGGTGCATTGAGTGGCCACGCAGTGCACAGAAGAATAGTCTGAAATCAAAACTTCTGGAGGCCAGGATGGAAAGTCAAAAAGTACAGTTGCGGCATGTTCTAAAGCAGAAGATATAGAGATAATAATTATGAATGTCGAAACCAGCTAAGTAGAGCTACTTGTTAAGGCCGGAGATTATCATGATGGGCAGTTTCGCTCTCTACCGACTGAAACTACTCGGAAGGAAGGTTTTTATGGACACCCGTGAACAGAAACGGAGGATTAAATCCTTGGGAACTCTGATCCTGCTCCATTTACATAGGCCTTGCAAGAGCATTCATCCATAACTTCCACGAGTGGAAGAATAATAGCTTGATTTTGGAACCGGGCGCGGAGGGGTTGCTAGCTAGCAAAATGTAATACTACTCCAATTGTCCGTTAATAGTTCCAGCAAGGAAAAACCATTCCGGGATAGGGGGTCAGGTTTTGGTGTTCTGGATGTATCTCTGTGCTTTGACAAGTGGGGCAATAGTCTCTTTCAAATGGCACAATAGACTTGTATTCTGGGTTTTTAGGTTATATTGCTGAATTCTCTTTTCTTGGATACGTATTCATTTACCATTTTTTTTTAATCCTTACATAAAATTCTCAGAGGAAGCGAGCATTGAACAAATTTAAATAGGTGGAGGAGAAAAGTTTTGCCATTTTTTGAAAGGCTCAACCCCCAAAAGTTGCAAAAAGAAGAACAAAAAAAAGGTGTTCATTTCAGATATCTATTGACATTAGAGATTCGTCGTCTTTCATCGTTGCAAGATTCGCGCTTCATGCCCTTTTTCCCAAAGAGAAAAGAAGAAAACATTAAAATTATTACTCAGCGGTAGAAAAACAGGGTCCAAAACTCCAAATGATACATACTACTGTTACAAATTGGGTGATTCAGCGGGAGGCTGTTGAACTTTCCTCTTTTATTATCACAGGCACCAGCCTCTCGAGCTTTCGGGCTCTCAACAGTCCATAAATATCGTGCATAAGCTTCTAGGCACTCCCACAAACTCGTATAGATTCATTTCCCATAGATTGCTTCTTCCGCATATATCCAGCAGTGCAGACTGCAGCGGTGCAGCCTGATAACGTATTTGAATTGTGAATTGTAAGCGAGATTTCTCTCTATCTTTAACTTAAACGCACTCGCGCGCTATTTTATATACAATGCTTACTTGTCTGGTGTCAGCATATTCGGTTCTTATCTTTCTATCGGTTTTACTTGACTTCCAATTAAAGCAATCTTTGGAAGCATAGATCTACGCCCTTTTCATTTTGCTCATTTTTCTCATCTGGGTACCGCTCATTTTCAGTGTGTACAATCAAGTTTTCGATTTGGGAACAAAATTTTTGTCTCTATCTTGCTTTTGGGTTGGCTTTCTTTGGGAGTTTGAAGAATCTTAGCTGGAGCTAGTTTTCCAGAACCCACCCCTTCTCTTGCAATCATTTCCTAAGTAAAATCCAAAATTCGCATGCCTTCTCAGCTTCAAACCTTTTTAGTCGTGCTTAATTATTACGCAGTAATGCGTATCTTTAACAGCTCTTGGTTTCTTTCTTGTATTTCGTTTTCTTTCTTTCTTGAAATCACATGTCAAGAAATCACAGCTTTTTTTTTAGTCGTGCTTAATGAGTCGTGTATTTCTTGTATTTCGTTTTTTTTAACAGCTCTTGAAATCACACGTCAGTTCTTGTTTTTCGTTTTCTTTCTTTCTTGGGATGAAGTTGGGTTGGGTGGGACATTTTTTTTCCTATATAAAGTTTTAATTATTAGCTATATGTCCCGTGGACTGATTGATTACATTTTAGTTTGATGTTTGAAATCCTGTTAACCCTTAATTAGAATCTCACCTTTGTGTTTAATGACTTTCAGGATTACATAAGCGAATAAAGATGGAGGGCATAATTGTTAGGAGGGTAATTCCTTCAGATAACAGCTGCCTGTTTAATGCTGTTGGGTAAATTTTGGGTTTCCTTCTTTGTTTTCATCTTTCGTTGTAAATATGGTGTAATAGAATTGAATTACTTTTATCTTTGTTGGTTCTTTGTCTTCAGGTATGTTATGGACCATGACAAAAACAAAGCATCTGAGCTGAGACAGGTAATAAAATGTTCATGTTGTACATATGTATTAGTTGGAAGCCCTTTAATTGTGCCTTGTTATTGAGGAAGAAGAGTGGTTGTAGTTTGTGGCTGCATCTTGCTAGTAATCTATTTAGGTAAAATGTGATATAAATTAGATTCATCAAGTTAATTGAGGACCGGCAAGTTGTGAAGTGACATAGTTGGGTGTAATTGCTGCTATTTTGGGTTCAGAGACTATTTTCTTATGTTCAATTATCTGTGCATTGGCACGGTTAGTACTAGACTCCATTTTTTGTGTTGAGTTTTCCTATGAATAAGCTGTTGACACTTTTATTGGTCAGATTCTGTGAGCGTCAATTATGTTTATCCCTTTGTTCTAAATTCTAAGAATTTTATTTCACTTCTGAAATATTTGCTTGAAGTAAAGAGGAAGTCATAGCCATTTCTAAAATTTTCTACCTCTGGCCTTTGTTTTCATTCCGCCCTTTGAAGTTCCATCTGATTTTGTTCTCTACATTGTTTAATGGCCACTATGTTATGGAGCTGCTAGTTCCAGCCCTCACCATTATCTAAATCTCCTGTCCAAGTTCATACTAGAAAGCTATTAACAAGTAATTCTAAGAGTTTGTATGGACGATTAACTAGTCTCGTTTGGTTGCAGGAGACATGTCTGTCTATACGCATATCACTGAAGGTTTCACTGACTATAGAATATTTTACTTTAGTTATGTAATGTGCAATACATCTCACATTAAAGTAACATGTTTGACTCAATCAAGAATGTTTAGCATACTGTAGAAGAGATTTAGCAGCCATTGGATTGCCTGACTTTGTAAACGATTATGCATCTGGCCATCCTACCCTGATTGAATCACTAATGTAAACATTTCCAGGTGAAAATTGAAGGTGTCTGAATTAATCATTGTAACTTTTTAAGGAAATGGTATTCTTTTACTCATTGTAATTGGTTAAGGAAATGATATTCTTTCAGTTTGCTTCTTACGGTATCTTACTAACCTTTCTTAACTTCAACTTTTTTGGTAGGTAATAGCTGCAACAGTGGCCAGTGATCCAACAAAATATTCTGAAGCATTCCTTGGAAAGCCAAATGAAGAGTACTGTGCTTGGATTCTAGACCCAGAAAAGTGGGGAGGTGTGTGTTGTGTATTTCTGTTTCTTTTCCACTGCAGTTCTTCCAGTATATCTAAAGCTTAACTACTGCCACTGCTCTGATCAAAATCATAAATAATCACTGGTTGATGAACACCTTATAACCACTGAAAGCTGATATGGAGCTTTTGTCTTGTCCTGAGTTTTAATATCTGCTGCATTCAACTGTTGAGGACACTGGACTTTCTGTTGCTTGATTGCAACACTGATACTTCATTACACATATGTTTGGTTGCATATGTTTTGAATAATATTGTTATTCGTGCTCCCTTTGCAATTATTTTCCCCCTTTTTTGGTCTGTTAATTCATTTGATTGAACTGTATATATGCTTTATCTTTTTTGCTTCTTGTAGGAGCGATAGAGCTTTCAATATTGACAGAATATTATGGACGTGAAATTGCAGCATATGATATTCAAACCGCAAGATGTGATTTATATGGACAGGTATCACTTTGTGGATGTCAATGTGGCTTTTCTGAATTGGACTGGCTCAACTGACTTCAATTTCTAATCTCTCTGTCATCTCACTCTTTAACAGGGGAACTACTATAATGAGAGAGTTATGCTGATATATGATGGACTGCATTATGATGCTTTAGCCGTAATGTCTTCTCCCTTAACTATGATTTCTTCATACATCATTGGGCATTCTTATGTTTTCGTGCTTTTGATTCCTGAATAATCATCATGAGGATGATCATGATGTTGGAAATCATATGTTTGTGTCTTGGCTTTATACGCATCAAGTTTGTTACCATATGAAATTTCACTCATCTCAGCACTCGTTGTTAGTGAATTCAAGGTTTTGAGAAAATTTGTGATGTAGATGTCGGAAAGGAATCAATAATATCATGAAAGTAACTTTGACACAGTTTTACTGTAGTACTTAGAACAAAGTAGCAGTAGTGTAAGCATAAATTGCGTCACTCCACATGTAAATTTTTTGAAGATATACAAATTGTAGTAGTAGATGCCTAGTGATAATGAAATCTTTCACTTTCTAGGTCCATTCTTTTCCACATATTGCTGCTTCTAATATAATATCTGACTTCAACAGATGTCTCCATCTGATGGAGCTCCAGAAGAATTTGATCAGACAATATTTGCTGTTCAAAAGGACCAGACCATTGGACCAGTGGAGGGGCTTGCTCGTAACCTGGTGAAGGAGCAACAGAGGTAATGAATCACCAGTATTAACAGGACATGGAACAGCTTTCTTCCAAATTAAAACTAGTTCTGTGACAGTGCTTGTTTTGTATTATCTCTGCTCTGAATTACTGTGCTCGAAGGACATCTTGTTATTTTGGCTATAATTTAACACTCCTCCTAAAGAGAAAAGACAATAACATCAGTTTGAAGAATAGAAGTGGCCACATCAAGGAAGGGAATAGGCCTGAAGTAATGATCTGTGTCTCAGAGCTTTTTGAAGTTATGATGTTTCTTAGAATATGGTGTCTCTCTTTTCGTCCTCCTTTCTTGAGTCAAAGCCCGAAGAAATGCAACTTTTTTCTTTTTGCAGCTGAAAGCAAGGATAGAGCATGGTTGTTCCATTTCCACAATTTGAGGGCTGAAACTTACTGATTTAGTGATTGAAAACAAGAAAATAAAGACTTTGTGGGACAAGTATTCCGTGTGTTAGCCATAAGTTTGGTCTGGCATGGTCCATCATTAAACATTTTCTTCGTCACTTCCTAAGTATGGGTGAGATGAGTTGCTTTGGGCCCATAAAGCTCTACTCACCTGGAAATGCTTCAAATCTGGCAAAGTATGATACCCATCCTTAAATACGTTCCTTGATTAAACTGCAAGTGCACAATTATGTGTCTTGGTACCGTTCTGATGGAAGGTGTAACTTACTCAATCGAAGTATCATAAGTGTCCTCCTCCATGAGCCTAATTGTCTGTGGCACATACTTGTAAGTTTCCTAAGAATCGATATTTCTTGCCCATTGTATTCTTATTCAAGTCAAATCTTGATGGTTCAGAAAGCTAATTAAAATGCATTTGAGGATGCTGTATAAATTAAGATAACGAGCCTTTGTTTCTGATATCAAAATGAATGACATATTGAAGCTGCAGCATGTGACATTTTAATTGAAAAATGTTTCTGAATTGCAGGAAAAGGATTTACACTGACACTGCTAATTTCACTCTGCGTTGTGGAGTCTGCCAAATTGGAGTGATTGGACAGAAGGTTCTATTACTGGCTTGAAATGTTATCTCTTCTTGGTATTTGCTCATCTCTCCTTTTGCTAGAAATTCAGAGCTCTTCTGTCTCTTTTTTTTTTTGGCAAATATCGTAAATGAACAGGAGGCTGTGGAGCATGCACAAGCAACAGGCCATGTAAATTTCCAAGAATACAGATGAAAGAATCTACAAAGGTGTGAAGAAAAAGAAAGTCTGATAAATCGATCCTTCTTCTTCTTTGAAAGAAAAATATGTCTGTATTCCTCCTAGGCAGTTCCTGAGTTGTGGCTGTACCACTGAGTTGCGTCCCTTCTTTGTTTTATGGGATCAGTAATCTGGTCACGTTTATCTCTTGTGAGGTACTGAACATATACATTTACAATTTACAATTTGACACAGAGAGGAGGAGGAAATATGTCCTTGGTTCTTACTTCTCTCCCCTTGTTTAGTAGAAGTCAGCAGAGTTTCGCTCTTAACTTTGATACTGGTCCACTTTTTACTGCTTTTTAGCTATAAGGAGTGCGCGCCATGTTCGCCATTGATCAATAAATTCTAATACTTCTGCTTTTCCCCTGAAAGTTCATATATCATTGGCAATACGCACTCAGTTTAGTAGTTTCTCAACAGGGATAAAGCTAATCATACAATGACGTGAGAATTCAATTGCAGCCTGATCAAATACTTTCTTTCCCCCTTTCAGCAGCAAGCTGTCCTTACATAGTTATTCCTTTTTGGCCCGAGGGATCTAATTATAAACAGCTAGGGAGTCAGTACAGTTTTTCAAAGTCTTTCCTGTACATGTTGAACATGTCACTAGCTACTGCCTGCAAAACAAGAAGCAACTTTCTGTACGTGGTGAACCTACCACGTTAGCCATGGCTCATGAAACCCTTTTTCTTGAATGCAACAAATGATGAAGGAAGGAAATAGACCATTATCACAACAATTTCCTGCCCTAGCTGGGAAATTCCCTTGGTTGGAAGTATACTGTCATGGGAAGCGCTATGACGACATGACCTTTTGCACGATATTTCCTTCTGGATCTGCGAAGAGCAAGCGTGAGAGGACCGCGGAATTAAACGACAAAAGAGTAGTATCTTGTTCTGGCGTTTGGTTAATCTTGACAGATGACGAGACCCGGCGATTGTACTCAATTTGGAACCCCCAGACTTCAGAATGCTTTGATCTGCCTCTCCGAAAATCGAAGTTCCCCGTTAGAGATGGACTAATCGTGCAAAACTTTTGTTAGCGGGATCTAAGGATGAACTTTTTTCAGTTCAGCTCTGCTATGGCATCACTACGTTTTCCCAATTACTCCCAACTTCTCTGCAAACTTATGGGAGAGAGTGACAAGTTTGCATGGTCGAGCCTTGTTTTTGGGCCTTGATTACAACCTTTCTTATCTTTCCAGCAGTGTGTGACTCGGGCATGGGAGAAGCAGGGAGGCATATGTTTTGTGGGGTTTTCACTTTTCGAGCGGAATAGAAAGTCCAGGTTTTTAAGAATCGTGAAATTTCACTATTACAAGCATGCTAAATTAGCAATCTCTGGTAATTTCAAAATAACAACGTAATCACTTCAACAAGTTCTCCACCAGTGATAATAAAGCTAATAATAAATAACTAAGGGAATTACTTCCAAAAAAATGGACTAGAGATTTTTCGCAGAAGCTAATGTGTAAAGGAAAGTTTCCCTCTTTCAGCAGGATCTGTTCCTTTTTCGTTGAAAATCTAATTATGGACAAGATCCCTTTCGGCAGGAATTGTTCCCTTTCCCGTGAAATTGAAAATCTATTTATGGGGGGCATGTACATGTTGAACTTGTTCATTGATTATTTATCAAGAAACTGTCTACTTCCTGCTTCCCCATCTTCTGCTTCTTCTTCTTCTTGTCGTTAATTGTTTTGGCAAATTCTTGATTCCAAAAACATGGTGGAGGGACAAGAAAGACCATTACCGCAGCAATTTCCTGCGCCAGGAAAATACCCTTGGCTGTTATACCGTCATGGCAAAGGCTACAACGACCTAACCTTTTGCACGATATCTCCTTCTGGACCTGGGAAGAGCGAGCGAAAGAGGATCCCAGAATTAATAGATAAAACAGTTGTATATTGTTCTGAAGACGGCTGGTTAGTCTTGGCCGATATCGAGACCAAGTGGACGTACTCAATTTGGAACCCCGCGACTTCACAATGCTTTGATCTTCCCCGTCTAAAATCAAAGCTGCTCTTTTTCGATAGTTTCTTGTCATCGCCGCCAACTGATCCAGGCTGTTTGGTAATGTTATTTGTGGCTAAAGCCCCGATAATCTTATACTGCCGTCCTGGTGACCAAGAGTGGACTGAGTTTAATTATGGTGAGAGTTTGAAGGCCCAAACTTCAACCACAAAAGACAGCCGAGAAAATTTTCTGTGTCAACCCGTAAGCTGCAATGGTAGAATCTATGCGACATCCGCAAGGATTTTCTGTTTGATGCGCATAAACTTGGACAAGAAATCCAACACTATTTGTGGCATATCTTTATTGAACCAGCAAAGGCCACCTTGGTACCACTTCCACTCAGTTCTTGTAAACCTTTGGTTGGTGGGATCTGGGGATGAGCTTTTCTCAGTTCACAGCTGTTATGGCTCGCTAGACTTTTGCGACACCCTGACTATTGAGATCAACAAATTCAACTTCCCATCAAATTTATGGGAGAAGGTGACAAGTCTGAATGGCCGAACCTTGTTTTTGGGCGAGCACTACAGCTTTTCGTGCCCGGGTCCAGTGGCGTCGTCCGACTCAGACTCGGACATGGAAGAAGCTGGGAGAGGGAGTTGCATTTATTTCACTGACCGCTTTGATGCAACGTTGTACTCGTACAAGATCGAGGATGAAAGCATTACAACGCATTTACCTTGCCCGGATTTACCAAAACCATGGCTTCTTTTTCCCACTTGGATAATGCCTGTTCAAAGGTAACGTTCATCAAAAGTTAATCCTTTTTTGGGATGTAATTTCTAGTGCAGAAACAGTTGCAGATATTCATTGGATCTAATCTCCTCCTCCAAACAGGTCCGAGCGCCATACAACTACCAAAGAAGATGAAGAAATGCTGCCCCAAGAAAATAATGTTGAGGTCAATAACAGTGGCGTAGAGATCATCGAGGAAGAGGGACGCTTGTGCGATCTCCCGCCAGATATGCTCGCAATGGTCTGCGGAAATCTTTCTTTTGTCGATTACATGAATTTTCGTTGCCTCAATAGTGTCTGTGCCTCCACCGTTAGGATGAAATCCAACTCACTCCCTCGGCCATTTCTCATCTTCTCCAATAGAGACAAAGGAGTCTATGAAATTGTTGAATCCAGGCTACAGGGCAAGCACTCAGTCACGGTTCCCGAGGCTATTGAAGATCATACAATTCGCTATGCCAAGGACGGATGGTTACTGCTGGATAAACGAAATTCTGTTGCTCTCTTTAATCTATACACGAAGGAGATCATTCGTTTTCCGGATACGCCTCGTGAGCGCTATACAAGCTTTGTTTTTACATCCTTGCCATCTTCCGCGGGGTGTTTCGTTTTTGCAAGCTTAGGAGTTGATAAAGAAGTCTGTTTCCACCATTTCAAAATGGGAGAGCAAGAATGGAGGCAAGTGGGGTTTGGCCAAGCCGACATAAAATTCCAGCCCGGTTTTAGCAGCCCGCTGCTCCACGGGGGGACTTTCTATTACCTAAGCAAGGATGGCATACTCGGAGGTCTAAAGCTAGAAGCCGAAACTGATAATGACATCATGGAGATGGAGGAGGATGGAAATGCCGAGGTTGAAGATGGTAACTATGTTATGGAATGGAGAATTAATCTCGACCTGGAAAGGCCTTGCAAGAATTTTCGACGCGCTTACTTGGTGGAGTGCGATGAGAATCTTCTGTCTGTATTTGAGGGGCGCAGGGGAAATAGAGTTTGGATTCGAGTGTACAAGCTAATTAACGACGAGCAGAACTGGCAAGAGATGAACAGCTTGGGGAACTATTCACTGTATCTCAGCCGGTATTCGTCTATCGCCCACCTTGAGGAAAGCCCAGATATGGCCAACAGAATTTACTTTCCCAGATTTTATCAAGGTGGCCTGCTTTATTATTCTTTGAGCACCAAGAAGTATCATTCCGTTGGAAGCGACGATTTACTGGACAACTTCTTTGGCACAACAATGTACAATGATTGCGCTTGGGTTGATCCGAGACGGCGCTAGATTTTTATTTTTTGTTGTTGATTTAGGATTTGATTTTGCCTCCTAATAATAGGTTACACCCTTCTTTCTTTGATTTCATGTCCCAAGGACAGTTACATGATTTTGCAGGCAACTTGTAATTAAAGCCGATATGCAGCGTGTTACTGTATATGTTAGTTAAAGATCTTGCAGTGCATTCCGCAACTTTCTGAGTTTTCATTGTCAAGAGCTCCTAAATCTGCAAAAGGAACCAAATTTGCAACACGTCATAATGAATCCTCTTCTTACGTTTCAACTCTTTCCATGAAGAATTTCAAATTATGAGGTATTACAACTCTGAAGGATTCAGCCTTCAGATACTGGACCTCAATTACAGATTCACATGGCTCATCTGAACTTATTACGCTGGGATCCTGGCTGATAATGTCCACAAAATCATTTCAGCTGAGAAGTCACAGCACCGCTATGCATTCTATTTCAATTTTTGCGTCCAAAGGTAAAGCTGCTACTTGGTAAGTTGATCGAGCTGGCGCCGGTGATGTAAAGTCTGCAACATAAACAGGCCAAATAGATTACAACCCATTGAAAGAAAGAAAGAGAAAGAAAAGAGAATCACATAATTCTGGCTACCATGTCGTAATTTTAGCTGGGATTAAAGTCTCCATAATCAATAATCCTTGACAAGAAAAATGCAGACAACATCTGTTCCTTCAATGCGCTTCACAAACCTTACTCTTTGCTAGGACAGGAAAAGGGTTCTCAAGTGTTCTTGATACCATTAAAAATAGATAACCAAGTACTGAGACATTTGAACCTCTTCCAAATTAAGCAAGAAAAAAAGAAACCCCACACAAGATATTAGAGAGACAGAGTGTGTGTGTGTGAGACATTTGGTTTAGTTGACAGGACACATATTCAGACCTTCAGATGAAAAAAAGAAAGCGCGTGGATTTTTAGGCAGAGCAATGATTTTATTCAGTGTCGTCAATATTAAAAGAGTATTTATATGTTCCAGCTTAATGTTTGAATAACTGTAAACATGATTTGTGGGTCAGAATCTTTATGGATTACTCTACCTTTTGCTACAATCTCTTAAAAAATTTAACATGACAAGGAATCTTCATCATGTTTCATGAACTTTTTGAAATCGACCAAACCATGACAATTAACACAAGCATTTGTAATTGTAGAGTCCACATATCATAGTAGAAAAAGACAATCTCCAAAGCATGAAAGGAAAAGGACTAATTTTGTAATCTGTAAGGGCTTCTTAATTTCATCTTCCATCATATATCTGTAAGGAGACATTACGATTGATCAAGAAGGCACAACTTGTCCTTTAGCTATTAGTTTCAGCATCTTAAACATCCCAAAAGCCCCAAAACAATAAGAGCCTCTTCAACACGCTCTTGATAAAAACACAACCAAATTCAAGTACCTCTTTCAATTAATCTCCTAAATTCCCACAAATGATTTTTTTTTAGTCCATTATAAATGCTGTAACTCTGTTACAACAATCATGAGACACATGATTGTCAGCTGACAAGAATTTGGGATCGAATCATGAATGTCATAAGGAGTATGCTAGCTTCTCCCCCCCCCCCTCGTATGTTCTACCCCCAGACAGAATTCAAAAATAGGAAAAGGAAAAATGAGAAAAGAACTTGGCTTAGTTCAATGGACTCACATTTAGCATAAATCTCATTGACTTTCTTAAAATCCTTCAAGTCAGCCAACCTGTAACAGAAAAAGAAACACTTTTAGCCTTAAGGATGGAAACTTTCTGAAAAGACAGAGAGATACGTTAAGGTTATATTGAAAGCCTAGAAATGATTGCTCACATAATTGTTGTCTTAACAACTGAGGAATAGCTAACACCACTTGCTTTAAGTATCTCGCCCATATTCTTAAGAACCTGTTAATTTGCATTAGCACAAAAAGTGTTAGTAAGATCCACTCTGTAACTATAATATCTGGTAAAATATTCAGAAAAGAAAAAACCTAATTTCAGATACTTCATTTGCACCACACTGTTTCAATTAATTCATGTATGTGTATTTCATAAATGCATCAGCAGCAATTCCATCGGTCAAAAGTTTAACACTTACTGCTACACTCAAGCTATTTAAAAGAATGACTGGCGACAACACTTAGCATGTACCTGCTCTGTTTGATCCTCAACACTATCCGAGACAAACTTCCCAGTCTGGATTTTCAACACAAAACAATTTATTACCCATTTTTAGTGAATAAAATAAATCATCACATATTCAGACACATACTACGGATCATTGAAAACAATGTCACAGACCTCTGGAACTAGACCAAGAACCCCAGACACAAAAAGGAGGTTGTTTGCTTTTATAGCTTGAGAGTATGGCCCCAATGCCGCTGGGGCCTTGTCAGTCTGAATAGCTTCCTTTATACCTAGAACACAAAAGAATAGTTTGCATAGCAGATAAAATCGCATAAGAAACCCAACGAGAATGCATAAGAGCACAAAAGTAAGCCCATGCACAGACAAAGTTCCTATAATCCATCAAATGCATAATTCGGTACTGGGTAATTCATTCATCCATGCGGTGATATGCATTAAATTTCTGTTGCCCTACCATCGAGTATAGCCTACTGATTAAGGTTCGTGGTTCCTCATCTCAGGACAAAAGCTTGTTTCTGAACGTCTCTGTCCCTTTTTTCCCCATTAATCTCATTACACTATTGATCAAATGATCCAATCTATGAATGAAATTCAAGTTCAAACAAGGCTTCTATACAATCATCTTTGACAAATGAATTATATACATAAAATCGTGCTTGCATGATCCATTAAAAAAATTCCACTCTAAAGAAAATCAAAACAATAAATCGACCCAAAAAACCAAAAAACAAAAAACAAAAAATAGCGTAGAAATGTCTAGTTAAGTTTGGTTGCGTAGTGTTGAATGAGGTACAACCAGTATTGCGTGAGATGCCACATCTAAAGTGAGTGACTTTTGACACTTACTGGCATCAGCGGAAATGCTCAAGGAAGCGAAGAGCTTAGACCGAAAGGCCGAGGAGGATCGGCCGATGCCGGCGCCGGCCATCGACACGCAGCCGAAGCAGCCGACAGCTAAGGGAGCTCGAGAGCGGAGGGCAGTGACATCAACCGCCGGCAGATGGAAGCTCTTTGCAGCGGCCAACCACGCCATAGTAGTAAATTTTTTACCCTTCAGTCTCCACTCCAGAATCTCACACAATGGCCGTTGGTCTCGTCTACGACCTACTCCCAAATCCCAATCCTCTATGCCTTTTCGCAGTATTTCGGCGTTTCAAGGATTTGACTGTTGAGAGAGAGAGTCAAGACACGGAGTCTTGTGTACCATCGCCGGTCGTCTTTTCTAACATATGTTGCCTGGGCTTTTTGCGGAGCGTGGGTTTGCATGACTTTCGTTGGAGTTGTGCATCTCAGGCCCAACCCAAACTCACACCACTGAGACTCTTTTTTTTATCAATTTTTTTTTTCAAACAAGGAAAGGAAAGGACGGAATTTAAAAAGCGGGAAAGAGGAGAAAAGATGAGTGAGATTTAAGAAATTGAGAAGAGGAAGCGAGAATTGAATTTAGAACATCTAATTCGTAATATTTCAAATTTAATCATTAGATCAAACCCTTTTCGACGATTGTGGTCGAAAAAGTATCGGCTCATATTTCTTACGTTTTTTTTTTTTGTTTGGTTTGGAAAGTTGCAAAGATATTTTTCAAAAAAAATTTCGGCTCAAAATGAAGCATTTTTGTCCTACACAACCCTTGTCCCTGAAGCCATTCTGCAATTAGCATGTTTTGTACTTTGTAATCGTTTATTTATTCCAAGAATTCACGTTGAGTTGGTTAGAGTTGTGAGGATATTTTACCTTTAATTTATGAATCAATCTTATATAGTACACCAACACCAACAATGTCCACAACCATTAAAGTTAAACACATAATATCATATGGTTATAATTTTAAAATGGAGGGGTCACTCCACTCGATTGATTTAAGGTTTGGTTTCTAGGGTGAAGTCGATCAGCAATCTCCTGCCTTTAAAGGTTGGATACGCATTCGGCCTAGGATTTTCAGAATGCAGCAGAATATAAAATGTTCTCTGGGAGACAACAGCAGAGCAGAATGGCCAAATAAAGGCCCACAGGCTGAGTTAGATTGGCAGTGCAAAGGTTGTACTTGTAGAGCAGAGCAAACAAACACGTCAATCCAAACAAACGGTCGCGGGGCTGAACAACCGCTCCGGAAGGTGTAACAGCATTTGTACATGGTGTAACATCATCTGTACAAGATGTAACAATAGAACAACAGCGAGTAATATTAAAACAACATTTTTGTGGATTTCATACGACGTGAAAATCGAGTTACAAGACGTGATCTGAGCCGCATAAATTTTTGAGGCCTCGTCCAGGCCGTGAACTGCCTCGGACGGTTGTCTCCAGGCGCCTCGTCCCAAACTAACAAACACTCTACTCTACTACTGGTGGTACAGGTACACCCTTTGAGTAGTACCACAATGCTACTAACCCATCATTGGATTTTGCACTAATTCCTTACATTCAATTGCCTGACCATCATTGGACGCATGTTGTAATTGTACGTATGATGATGAGATTTACCTAATTAATTCAATCAAAGTTGGCTAATGCACTAAAATACGGGTTCCTTCCTGCTCTCATTTTGTGCTCTGCATCTCCTCCGGCCAAAGTGCCATCAAATCAAATATCTCTTCTACAAACCGGGCAAGTGCCATTCCTGTTTAACCATTCATCTATGCAATTTAAGTGGAAAGAATGTCCACAAGTAGGAAGCATCCGTGCACAATCTCCGTTCTTGAAGTCCTGTTTATTTATTACAAGGTAATAATAATAATAATAAGCAAAAAAAAAAAAAAAAAACACACACACACACAGACTGATCAGTGATCATCAAGATACTCCATTAAATATAGGAGGAAAATAATAGGTGCCAAGAAAGAGAACATTTTCTTGTTCCTGTCCGGACTGAGGAAAATAGATTACCGTCAAGCAAATTGCACAGATTGTTTCATGGCAAGAAGGATTTGTGGTCTCTATAGAATGAAGGTTACATGTAGGTAGATCATTGATAGCTTCACGTGATAATCCCCTGATGGAATTGACCTCAAAAATGTCTGAAATCTCCCTCAAATTTGATTCCATGTCGCTAATCTGCAATTTGAAAAAGCCGAACTTGATAAGCCTACTGCTATCACCGGTCTGAGTGACATGATAGTAGTAGTTTTGTTAGACATGCATGAACCAAGAAGAAGAAGAAAAAAAAAAAAAAGCTGAAATAGAGAAACAATTGTGATGCTCCTATATATGTATGTGTTAGAAACAGAACAATTGCCTAAGAGAGAGAGAGTACTGGTGTGGTGGTGGTGGACACTCACCTGCCATTGATAAGCTTTTAGAACAGCAGGACTGACCCACTCCATGAATATCTTTCCATTCACAAGACTACATATGAGAGCAACCTGTCCAAAAATATGTAGTCGTAAACGTCCATTCCCATTCATTGATTGATAATGCATGCATGCAGCTATAATAAAAGCAGCACTCCAGTGCCGTGTGCATTTACCCTCGTGAATGTGAAAGGGACGTACAATTCTACTTTTCTTTCATTTTAAAGTTCATCATGTTTACCTACCAGCTGTCCGTTGTTTTTAATTAGCACCGGACGCAATTTCGATTTACCTTGGAAAACGGCTCTCCATTAACCATCAGTTCCAATAGCTGGACCGCCGTGATGGCCCCTGCCACCGCACCAACTCCGGCCCCACGGAAGAGTCCAGTTTCTGTAGTCTGTCCTTTAATGGCTCCTGATATTGTCCCTACTGTTGCTCCCCCTACAGTGCCAAGGAAATTCAAAGGAAAGCAGGGGGATATTTTCCGTATTAGATTCAAAAGATCAAACCTTTGCCTGGAAAGTAAAAGAAAGTCTGGCGAAAAATTAATTCATTCATTCATTCAAGAAGGGAAGAATCGAAATGCTGGGGAGTCAAAGAAACTTGCCTAAAGCAAAGATGCAAGTGAGCAGAGACACAGCAGTTCTCTTCATCACTGTAAATAAGAGCCCGGATCCGAAACAGCTCAGTTCCGTTGAAAGCCAGGAGAAAATGCGTTCCTTGCATTTGAAGGTCAAATTACCGAGCCCAGAAAACCATTTCTTGATTGCTGGATGACAGACCAACATGGCCTGTGGATCCCTTCAAGGCTTAGCAAATGTTTTGCAGAAGGTAATTAAAGGAGAGCGTTTGTGTGTAATTTTAGCTGAAACCGGTAGAATTGAGAAATGCGTGGAGGAAGTGAAGAAATATGTATGAGGATTTATAGGGTGAGGTTAATCTGTACTGCCGTACTGGTAGAGGAGCATTTAATCGGCCTGATGGAGCTGTCGTGTACGCATGTGCCTGCAAGTTGCAAGTTGCAAGTTGCATGCATGAGAGAAATATATACTATATATATATATATATAGCCAATCAGGCAGTGCGTGCGGCTCCCCTTTACTAAAAGACTTCAAATCACAGGAGTGATCATTTTGAAAACGCACTCCAATTCCTTCATAAATTCACATTTTCTTTTTGTACGTAAACAATTTGTACCATCAATCAAAACGTTAGAATTTGAGTCTTACCGTCTGGCTGTGGGATAACCCCGTTAAGCCCCAGGTCGTGTAGTCGATTCTGGCTCTCTTTGAGCGGATTCAAGACGGCGTGTGATGTTAAAACTCCATTTTTCGCTTTTGCTATTTTAGTGAAGAGATCGTTTCATCAGCCACGTTGGCGCAGCGAAATATCTCAATTTCTCACGTCTCAGAAATCTTGGTAGCTGCTAGCACACGACGGTTAGTATTTTTTGAGCAGAAAGGCAAACTGAGTGTGGGACATTGTGATGCAGGCTCCGAGTACGTGCATTTCCTCCTAATGCTGAAACATGTCTGGACTCGTCCGAATATGCGCAGAAACGAGCTTAAAACAAACGAGTTTGGCATTGAAAATAGCAAAAAATGGTCCAGGATGAAAGAAAAGCTCTGGTCCAGGCTTTATCACTATCGTTGGCCTTGAGAGTTAAATCTGATCAATGTCGTCATCCCCGAACTCAAGATAGCTAATATCACCATGGCCGTCATCATCATCATCCATCTCTCCAGCGATCCCCTCATTGAGTCTGACGTTATCCGGCAGCTCACCGTAAGCCTTCAAGAGCCTGGCTTCATCGGGCATGTACTTGAGGATGACATCAGCCTTGTCGTCCTGATAGTCCCGGAGGCCAACGAGGATAATGTCGCCGGTGGTGATCCAGACCTTCTTGTGCATTTTCCCTCTAATGTGACAGAGTCTCTTGTTCTGGTCAATGCACATGGCTTCACAGCGGCCATTACCTAACATGCGCAAAACCTGGGCATACTCTTGGCCGTCTTCTTTGAAAACCAGCTCTCGCTTCTCGTCGTCCGCCTCATTCTTTCCTCTCTTCCTGTTCTTGCCCCTTTGCCCTTGTTTTTTGGCATGATGAATGAGGTGAAACCATAAAACTGCAAGTGCAAATGGGCTCTTCTTTAGCGGGCGGGCGGGGAATTTGCTATTTTTTCGGATGTTTTGTGGCTTGCGAGTAGCGACCCAGGCCCATGAGGGAGAGAGAGTATTGGGGCTTTTCTTTTTTTTTTTTCAAGAAAAAGAATGAAGTGTTTGGTGGAGGACTCTTCTTGGTTCCGTGGCTTCCATTTGGAATATCATTTTGGGTACCTTACGGAATTTGGTATTCCATGAATTCCTGTACTATGGTTCCGAAAGGTAAATTGGACGTGAGTTTTGCAAACTGTAGCGCCTGAGATTTATTTATAGCTACAAATCACTCAATAACCCCACCCCCAAAAAAAAAAAAAACAAGAGAAGACAGACAGACATTATTGGTAGCCTATGGAAGATTATTTGAATATGATGCATTTTATAATCCAAATTTAATGAATGTGGCAAGGGAGCTCTCTCAATTCTCAAATGGCACGTAACCATTGATTGGTGAGTTGTCAACAAGAAATCATATTAAAATCGCAATTCCAACCTTGCAAATTAGGGTTGTTCTAGGCAACCCACAAGTTTGCAAATCGCAATTCAAAAAAAGTTTTGTGGAAGTAATTTTGTGAACGTCCACCCAAGCATTAAATGCTTCTTAGCATATCACTCAAGTTGATTTTTGTCCAATTTAGTACAGGAGTGAGTGATGTCGGATGAGGTACGGTAATTAGCAGCAACTGATCCATTCTCAGCTACTACTCCACAGGACAACTCTTCTGAATTCTCCGAGCCTCGACTGAGAGAGAGGAGCAGGCAGGAATAAACGGATCCCCATCCCAGACGCCGGACCGGTGGCAGGCTTATTGGCAGGTTGGAAGAATAGAACTAGAGATTGAATGATGGTAATTTAGTACCACTACTGTACTCCAGTCTTCAGCTTTTAATTTTACTCACATTTATTGCTCAATTTCTTGACCGATTATCAACGTTTTCCCAGATTACTCATTGGACGCTTCTTTCTGTTCATATCCACCGGTTTTCATAATCTGGTCACCCTTAGAGCTGAAAAGCGTGCTCCTCTGCTGATGATTCATCCCTCCTCGTTTACCTCGTGATTTATGAAGCTCCAGCCAGCTCCCGAACCAGAAGTAATATAGAAAACTCCAAAAAAAGTCTTATCAACATAGACCCCCTTTTGCATTTAACTCCTCCTGCGAGTCATGACCAACATACCTGAGAGTTGCTTTCAAGTTTAAATGTACAATTCTCTCCCACACACGTTCTCATCCTCCAATTGAATTATTCACGTGGGATTCAAATTTGTTTCCATTTATTGAGGTGTTTGCCTGGTTTGAATTTTACTTCATGGGACATTCAGTTGATTCAGCTGGATTATTGGTAGTGCTATGGTTAATGATTTCTTCTTGGGCCTATGTTGGATCTAGTGAAGGGTACATATCTTATGAGATATCCGATAAAGGTCTCGACTTTGTCAAAGATTTGTTAATTGAAAAAGCCGAGACTTCCTTGGTTCCACTTGAGCTGCCTAATATTGAGAAGACTGTCAAAATTCCAGTGATTGGTACAGTTAGCATGGAGGTTTCGAATGTTACCCTCTACAGGGTTCACGTTACTTCCTCAACTGTTAAAACTGGTGATACTGGCATCCTTGTTGATGTTGCTGGCGCCACCGCTAATTTGACTATGCACTGGGGTATTCCTACAGCACCTGGTTGCTTCCAATCTCAATTTCGGATCAAGGGGAGGCAGAAGTTCAGGTGATACCACTAATAAGTCTCAGTTTTGCTTGCTATACTTCTGAATTATAATTCATGTACATGCCATTGAGCTTTCTTATACGTGTTACTGTTTGGATTAAGCTTGTGAATGATGATGCAGTGTAAATATGCTTTGCATCGCAAAACAAATTATGCGAGCTTACTACTTAAATCCTATCAGTTCATCAATTACTAGCAAAATTGATGCCTTTGTATTGTTTGTTGCCAAAGCATTCAGCCTTTTGCGTGAGGATGTGCAGTTCCTCCCTGCACTGGCTTCTCAGGAACTTAGATCATGTAGAATTGATGCATTATGGAAGCATTAGCATCTGGGCTAGCAAACATGTCAATGTTAGTGCTCGTGTCCGGACATTCTTTGTCATCAGCTGAGTAGTTCAGCTGGAACTAGCTAAAACTAAATGTAACAGTATAGTTAATGTAGTTGCTTACAAAATACCATGTATACGGTGTTGCTTTGCTCTCATAACATCGCACAGTCATGATTGCCTATTAAATTTTTGTCTTTACAAAGAGAATTGATGAAAGATACGTCTTCAAAGATTGAAGGTATGGAAATTGGGCTTTTGCTTGATTTGAAGAATCAGCAAGGATCTCTTAAGCTGTCACTCGTGGATTGTGGTTGCTATGTGAAAGATCTATCCATTGATTTGGCTGGTGGAGCGTCCTGGCTATATCAAGGGTAAAGAGTCATTTGATGCCCTTCCACTTAAGAAACCTCTCTCTCTCTCTCTCTCTCCCCCTTTTCTGGATGCCTGAAGTTATTTTTTCTGTCATTCAAAAATGTGATTTGGACCTAAAACTAAATGAAATGTTGTAGCTTCACTTCCATCAGACAAATGAGAAATTGATCATCTCATTTTGCTTCACAACATCAGGAAGTTTTTCCTGATATTGATTATTTGCTTCTACCATTTTTAAAGATTCACAGTTCGCCCGGTATCCAAAGTCTCTTTGACAGAAGATGGAAATCAGTCCATCAGTTTGATGGGCAATTTAGCACGTCATTGCAATTGAAACCAGTGAAAAGCCATGAGCATAGTTCAAGGAAATTTGCCTCATGTTCTTTGATTATCGTTCTCCATCCCCTTGCTTTCAGCGAGAGGGGCATGAGGTGTTGTCAACAGAGATAGAAAGCCTACTATATAGGTTTCCTAGGAAAAAACACATTTTATAATTGTGGGCACAATGCACTTAGGCGATAATGGAAGAAAATCATCTTAGAACTATAATCTCTATCTTATCATGATAGTGATCCAATTTAATGTTTGGCTTATTATACTCCTGATGAGATGGGGGCTTGTAAAGAATAAACAGACTTTCCTATGAACACACCTGCTGCTTTAGCTTAATAGGGCTACTATGGTTAGCATTATTTTGATCGTATTTCTTGGAACTGCTTTGTGTTGATACAACAGACTAATCTAATGAAATTATCAGGCTACTTAACACACACACCATCCTCATTGGTTTTGCATGACTTTCGTTTTGCCTGTCATTATTCTGTTTGAGCTTCCAACTATCCCTATACTGATTCCTTTGTTGTTTTCAAGATTGGTAGATGCTTTCGAAGATAAAATAGCATCTGCAGTTGAAGATGCTGTTTTGAAGAAATTAATAGGTGCAATTCAAGAGCTTGATTCTTTTCTGCAATCTCTGCCGAAAGAAGTTACAGTAAACAATATTTCTGCTTTAAATGTCACCATCGTCGGTGACCCAAAATTAAGTAACTCTTCTCTTGAACTTGAAATCAATGGTTTATTCAGTCTCAAGGATGAAGCTGCAGTTTCCAAACTTCAGCGTGAGAATGTTGAAGTTCCATTTTCCTGCAATGGTCCAGCTAGGATGGTGGGGATCTCAGTGCATGAGAATGTCCTCGAATCGGCATCTGCAGTCTACTTTGAAGTAAGACTTGAAAGAAAAGTTTCATGAACTCTGATCACTTTCTTTCTGTTAGCTATTCCTTTGGTTCTATGTTTTGTGTTGGTTATTGATTGCTAGCATCAGCTTGTTATTTATAATATCTTCTGATTAGTTGCCAGACAATATTGGGGTGTTAACTTACCTTTTTGTTGGACATCTGTCTAATGATTTTAATTTCGTGTTCAGGCCAATAAAATGCATTGGATTGTTGACAATATACCTGATCAGAATTTGATGAACACTGCTGAGTGGAGGTTCATTATTCCTCAGCTCTACAAACAATACCCAAATGATGACTTGAACCTCAATATTTCTGTGCATTCCAATCCAATATTAAAAATTGGTGAGAAGCAGATTGATGCAACAATCCCCTTAAAAGTGATAATTGATGTGTTGGACGATGGTCAAGTAGTACCGGTTGCATGTATTTCTGTGGTAAGCTTCTGGATGACATTGCATCCAAATCTTGTGAACTTTCTCATTTCACTTCTCAGGTTGACCGAGTTTGGTTGATGCTAGTGTTCTTTTACAAGGATACTCTGACCCACGTTCTGAACTTAAGTTGTCTAAGCTTTCCCATGTTTTTAAGGGTAGTTGTGGACATAAATTTTGATCACATGATTGTGTAATTGGACCGTGCTTCAGTTTAATTACCGTGCATTTCCTGACTGAAAGAGGAAGATGGAGGGTGACCTTTTGTTGTGACAGACTAGGTCTGATTATGCGGGTAGTGTTTTGAATTGTGGAAGCTGTTTGTTTGAGGATTATTATACCATATCTTCGATACTTAAATACGGGTGGCCTTTGTGATGATCGACCCATTTAGATGGAATGTGACGACGCACAGCTGTTTTAGATACATCATTCATCTGTGATCTTTTGAAAAAGGGACTTCATTTTCCTAACAGCATCGGGAATGGAATGGTCAAGTTAATAGGACTTATGATTCTAGGGGTTGATTTACTTGCAGAAGGCAGTTTATTTTGCCCGAGTTAAGACTTTATTGTTTGTGTTTATCCATCAAAATTTGGCACTGTCTTCCAGACCTTATTATAGCTTCGTTATCGTGCCAGGTAATTAGCGCTGCTGCTTATCCAGAAGTCTCACGTAATGCTCTAGCTGTCAGCGTGAAGTTAAATGAATTTACTATGTCCCAGGATTGGAGCAAAATTGGTAACCTCCACATGTATCTTGTTCAGGTATGTCCATTCAAGCGCTCATCCAACTTCCAACTGGTTTCCTAATGCTGTGATGCGCTTATAACATCATCCTAGTTCCAGCAGTAAAACCTAACAAGCATCAGGCATGTCTATCCAGATTCATTTATAACTTTCTGAAATAGTCGTAATCAGCAGACTTTAATTAGCAAAATTTGTGAAAGGAAATTGTTATAGCCCTTGTGCAGAACGTGAGGGTAAGATGTCTCGTGTAGCCGATAGAAGTGTGTCTCATACCAGCAAGTCAACATTTTAGAAATGGTTAATGATGTGATCGATTTCCATTTTTAACATGACAAAGTGTCGCGCTTTACATGCGTTCCTGTGATTCACACTGACAATCAGTGTACTGATTTGGTGTATGTTTCTCTCCTCTTATATGCTGTGAAAGGACTGTTATATAAGTCAGATAAACTGCAGTAATGGCGTCTAATTTAACCAAGTTTTGGCTCCTCCATGCAGCCTGTGATCTCGACGTTGCTGAGAACTGTCGTCTTGCCTTATATCAATTTAAAGCTGAGCAAAGGATTTCCAATACCAATTTTCCATGGTTTTGAGCTTCAAAATACTGAGCTGCTCTGTACTGATTCCAGGATCATCATTGGCAGTGATGTGGCATTCATTGAAACAGCGCAACCTCATACAGTCTTTGTATAATAATACTAACTAGATCTGCATCGCGATGTAGAAATTTATTTCAGTTTGCTTAGACTCGATGGGGTTGCTCAATGTGTACAGTAGTTTGGGGGGATGACATTTGGCAGTGGTATTTGTAACATGAAGTTATGCTGTGCATCCTAAAAAAAAAAAAAAGAAAATGGAAAATAAATTTCTGGAGTGCTGGCTCTTTCTTCTGCCATTTCCCGGAGCATGTCTTCCTTGAAATCTTCGGAGTATTGACGACTGATATCAAATCAGCTCAGACATCATTTCCATCACATTTCCAATTCCATTTTTTGTGGGTTAGATGTCAAAGCTCATGTCTTATTCACCCAAAGCTTATGACTCAGCTCAGGGAGCTGTTTCTGAGATCGAAGTTGGTATCTCGTTAACCTAATGTTAAAGAGGAAGGCCAGTCAATTGTAGCCCGAATCCTATGCACATTTTGCCTCTCAGTTTCAGACTTGTAGAGTAATAATTAGTTGCTACCCTGCATTTAGATCCGACAAGAGGTCTACAATATTTTGACTGTACCTGTGAGAAGGAAAGGATACTAGGAAAGCAAAACGTATTGGTAAAGGACAAATGGAAAAGGTGTTTTCTTTGATGAAAAGAAAGAAAGATGACACATTTTTTCAGTGTAATTATGGGAGAACTAAAATGTATCAGTAACTTTCGAGTAGAAGCAAGTTTATTTACGGACAGATAAGTTTTTAAATTCTGATTTTCAGTTTGACCAATTATCATTTATGATGCAAGTGTATTAAAATGTGCTCGACGTCGAGGCTAATATCATCATATGCTGATAAATACGTGTGTATTTTGTGAGACTGGAATTATAAGTATTGAAGATATATCGCCTTGTGTGTAATAGTAATGTAGTTCAAACCGCTCTAATTTCAGTAAATAAGTCACGGATCTATTTGGTAAGAGAACGAGAGCATTAGACTATTAAAAAAGGCGTGTCATTGCAAAGCAAACCACATATGACCATGAAGCTATCAGGGATTCATGTAACACAAAAAAAAAAAAAAAAAGAAGACAATTTATGATAAAAAAAAATAAGAGTGATGCACTCATATTTCTTTAAGCATTTTTCTTCCTTGATTTCTTATTTATCTTTCTTAATGTCACAATAAACCTATTTATTTCCATCCCAACTAGTATAATATTAATATTGAAAAAAGAAAAAGAAAAAACAAACTAAGCATCCTTACTTATGAATTTTAGGAGCTAATCGAGAACCAACAAAGATTTGGGTTCCGTTTGATAAAACTGAATCTAAATTCTGAAGTCCGAATTCTGAATCTGAATATTGAAACAATTAATTTGCTGAATTTTAAGCACTGAAAAGAAATATTTGAATGTCTGAATTTTAATGTTAAACCTATTAATACTGTTTGATAAACATTTATAACTGAATGCTTAACAAGTTAAATTTGATAAATTTGCCCTAATATCTTTTCATCCAAAAAAGAAATAGAACCTATAATTTAATCAGCTAAAAATGTTAGGTATGAAAATGACAATATTTATTTTTAAATCAAATTAATATAAAAGATGAAATATATTATATGAGGAGCATGGGGAAGATGTGAAAATCATTCAAAAGGGAGAAACAAGAAATAGAAAATCATTGGATAGAAAATATTAGATTGTTTAATTAGATAAGAATTTTGAACATAATTAACAAACAAGGGTAAATTTTGTAGATAAGATAAGGTAATTGAAGTAGTTCTATTAATTCTTATTAGAATTAAACATTCAATTACGATTCTTGTGCTGAAAAAAATACACACAAGTTCAACAAATGAACTTTCATTTATTAAACACTCAAAACATCTGAATGTCTGAAAAATTCAGATTCAGCACTTTTTTATGTTATCAAACGGACCCTTAGAGGAAAAAGTATAAAATCGTACAAATTGAGGGGGCAAAGTGAAAAATCGCTTAATATTAATACGATCGCGTTTTCTCTATAATCTCTCCCTCTTTGCCCTGCACATAAGTTTTTGCTGCCCTGTCAACAAACAATATGCACCCCGCCTCACCATAACAACAACTCGCAGCTCTATCTCTCAATTACCCGCCAAAAAGGTAGTATAATTCTAATTTTTAATTTTTAACGCATCGAAAAATTTCTCTTTTTTATTTCCCAAATTTCATCTCAACGTCTCTCTTGAGTCTCTCCTTCCCGTCTCTCCTCTTTTCTCTTCTCTCTAGGGTTTCCCCGGCCTCCTGTCTCCTCATTTTATGGCTTCTCATCTCTCTTCTCTTTGCAGGTTTCTCCCAATTCGACGCCGTTTATGGTTTTGGCTTGAGTTAGGGTTTTGTCAAGGATGGATTCGGTTGAATCCGGGTGAAATTGGGTGAGAAAAGATCGGCCGAGGATACCGCTGGAGGAGGAGGAGGAGGAGGAGGAGATGTTCCGCCGGCGAAGAAGCTGAGGCATGGAGGCGCTGTGGTTGGTAATATGAGGAAGGTGGCGGAGATGGTTTTGGTGTTGGCGGCCATGGGGAAGATGAGGGGAGGCAAGGTTCCGACTGGTGTTGAGAAGGAGATTATGGCGGCCGCTCGAGAGAAGTTAGTGGAGGTTTGTGAATTGTTTCCGCCCAAGGATGTGTTTCCCAGGGATGTTTTTGGGGCACTTATTGAGGATCTCGGGCTTAATAAGGTGAGGGAACAGAGGTTAGGGTTTCGGCCGCCCAAGATTACCATTGCTGAGAAGTTATTGCTTTCCAAAAGAAAGGTTGGTTTGATTTTCTTTACATAATTTTGAACTCTTTAGTTTTTTATTTTGTTGGTCTAAATTTTGTTTGGATTGCATTCAGTTGGTGAAATGTGCTGTTATTGAGTTTGGAAACAGAGGAGAACACCTTAACAGTTCAATTTGACTGTGACTATCATACCTTTCTGGGCTGTAAAGAGAATGTTCATTTAAACGATGGGTTGTGGTGAGAACTTGCACTGAAGAATTTGGCAGTGATTTTCCGAACAAGAAATCTACTAGTCTTTATGGCTAATCAGATAATCTGTATTCTTCAACTAGTATTGCAAAGCCATGATTAGTTCTGTTATAGAAAGCTTGTGTGAATGTCCATGTGAGTAGTTGTCCAATCCATTGGCTTAAACAACTTTTTACAAGACGATACCGCTAAAAAGGAAAATTTGAAAAGTCAAATTATAGGCGGGAAGGCAGTGCTTGTTATTTACATTGAAGTCCTTTTATGATGCAGTTATCTTCTTTTGTCATTAGGGGAAAATACTGTCGTTGAGAAAAGTAGATGGCTTGTAGATGACAAATTTAGGCTACTAAAGTTCTGCTTGCTCATTTACTTGCTCGATTTCTAAGAATTGACTTTTAGCTGTATTTGTGGATCCATGTGCCGAGTTAGAATATGGATGTATTTGAATAAAACGTGTAGTTGTTCCATGTAGCGAACATTTAACGGGCATAAGAATGCACATCCATGTGTTTGCATGCCGTCATTATTAGCTTTCCTTAGTTTCATGCTATCTCAACACGTTACAAACACTTTTAGTTTACCCGGTGTAAATGTTAATCCTTCTGGCGGTGGGTATTCATAATCGAGTGTAAAAAACAATTATTGTATTTTACTTGTTTGTCGGGTGTAATTAAATGCACATTGCAGCCAATTACTCTTTTTATTTCTGGTACTATTAGTTCATAGTATAAGTTCCTGAATATGCTGAACTTTGAAAAATTGAGATACTTGGTAATTCTGTTGTCCTTGAACTGATTTCCTGTGGTTAAAGTATTTTCTTTGAGGTCTCAACTTTAGCACCTTCTGTTGAAAATTATTTGGCTTAGAAGATCAAACTTATTTTGCTTTTTTTTTTTTAAATTTTCTTCTAAGATGTTTATTTTTTGTTTGATGTATTAACTGAAGGGTACTCAGTTAGGCGCTAATATCTTGTGTGTGTGCTATTATTTGATAGCTTTTTGACTGTAATTATTTTTTCTTATTATGATTAACAGTTTCTTTTGATATTATCAGCATAGGGTTTCTCTTTTCTAAGCAGTGTCAGAATTGGATTCTGATGTTTGCAGCATTAATTGATCACTTACATGGTTGTAGAATGCTGTTTACAGATCTTGGTTTACATATTTTTCTTATCTTGTGCATAATCTTCCTTGTTTTTGGCTGCACCTTTAGATGGAAAAAGCTGAGGACTTTACTCTACCTTCTGCTCAACACTCATCGCAAAGATTGCATACAAAGTCTGGTGTGGCGGTTGAAAATCGTGCTCCACCCCTGCTGGCCGTGTTTTTGCCACAGATAAACCTAGTCATATACCAATTTCTTCTGGAAGCTTCCAACCTTCACCTCTAGGTCATGTAGCTGGTACAACATTGACATCTTTACCATATCAGCTACCTACAAGTGAAGTAAGACCAACAACTCCCAGTGGATTGCCCTCCAGTAATATGGCAAGGGATGCTACTCCAGTTGCATTGCCTAGGATTGAAAGATTCAGGTTGGATGGAAGACCAAATGGATCTTTGCCAACATCACAAGTGCAAGGTAGCAATCACTTCCTTGTTTTAATCGAGGAATGATTAGTGATAGGTACTTTTGCAATTAATTACCTGATATCTACAAAAGCAATTCTTTTCTGAGTTGAATGTGCTGTATACTATTTGGGTTGTGCATTGCTCTCAACATATATATTATCAAGTAGACTAAGCAGACCCTTGCACAGAGTAAGTATTGAATTTGCTTTAACTATGCATACTTGGTTGTTGGATTTTCTAGCTGATGCCCTTGCAAACATCTGGCTTTTATGTCTAGAAGTGGTTTCTGGTATTTGTACCTTAATAACTTTCCTGGATTCACAAAAATCTTTACGTAGGATTTCTGTTTGTGAATAAGATGTCTTTGGTGCTCTATTAATGGAACTTCAGAAACAAAGTCTTCCCTGGAAAATGGTTGGTCTTAATTGTACTGATCTCTGTGGTGAACTATCAGGTCACCAATTTCCATAGCATTGTAAAATGATGTGTCATGTTCTTTTGATGTGCAGCAAATTCTTCTGGGGATCAGCCCTCTGTCAAAACGCCAGCTTGGTCTCTGCAACCCCAATCTACACCGCACCCCCTAAAATTGGAGCTGAGAAGGTGCCTGCGAAAGCTACCGTTAAAGTTGAGGGAGCAACTGATGCCAAGTCCAGAATAGGCCCACAAATTGCAATATCAAAACCACCAGTAACTCAGATTACAACTGGAAATCATGCAGTTGGTGTAAATCAGCATTTGCAAGGCACAAACACTATTCCGGCTCCCATACCAAGAAATACCCATGCTGAAATTGGTAAAATTGTTCAAAAGTTATTACAGCCACGGGTTTCTGAGCGCCCTGTCTGGACTCCACCGTCCAGGGATTACATGAACAAGGCTTCGACTTGCCAAACATGCAAGTCTACCATAAATGATGTGGACAGTGTTCTTGTTTGTGATGCTTGTGAGAAGGGTTATCACTTGAAATGTCTCCACATAAATAATCCAAAAGGAATTCCTAGAGCAGAGTGGCACTGTGTAAAATGCTTGCAGTTAAGCAATGGGAAAGGCTTGCCCCCTAAATATGGTCGTGTCATGAGAAACAATAATGTTCCCAAAGTGCCTTCTAGTGCAGCTGCTCTCCCATCAACTCCAGATAAGAAAGCAGCCGCTCTAGATGTGAAGGTGAACCAGCAGAAGATAATGGTTAATGGGAATGCTGCAAGTCAAAGGGCCTCTACTGGTAATAGAGTAAGTGGTCATAGCGATCCAACATCTGCATTGAAGGTGGAAAATACAACCGAAATACGAGGGAATACTATTGTTGGCAAAGGAAAGATGGATGACAAGTCATCTTCACGAATTTCTTTAAATAATCTAACAGAAGCCTCCTGTCCAGTCTCTGTTTCTCCTACTTTGTCATCAGTTAAAGGCCTGTGTGAAGAGAAACTGCTAGAGTCGAATTCACAGACTCCTTTAAAATCTGAGACAGTTCTTAGTTTCTCTTCTCCGTCGCAGTCCCCTGGCAACGCAGAAGATAATCGCCAGCCAGGGGCACCAAATAGTGCTGTTCTGTTGCAGCAATCTTCACAAAATGATCAAGGGACTGTGCGAGCTATTCCTGCTGAAACTTCTGCAGCCAGTTCTGGACTTGCAGAGCATGGAAAGTTTCTACCAGATTATGTACACAATGTGGATTGGATCGGCGGTATACTTAAAGTCGATGAGGAGAAAGCTTTCTACCAGTCTTGCTGCATTAGAGGAGTTGTCTACAAACTCCATGATCATGTTCTTATTCAATTCAATGATAGATTGATTCCGTCAAAACTTCAGGTACTAATATAGGATAATTCAGGTCTTGTGGGACACCTAAATGTTTTGCAAGTTTCATATACTAATCCACAAATTACTTTATAGCTGATGGGCAGAAAGCAATCATAGGGATGCTTGATTCTACCCTATGAGTGGTTGACATTATTCTAAATTTAAAAACTGCATGTACCAGCTAGGTCTGTCCGTTGCCCTGATATTTGTCCTATGAGTGGTTGACATTATTCTTTTGATATTTTTCATCTCATTTGCTCTCAATTTCTGAGTTGCCACTTCCCTCAGCTCTGCACTAGAACTGCTATGTACTTGGTAAAAGTAGAAGGTTGCTTTTTGAAACAAGTTAATCCCTGACCTTAATGGAGTACAAAAAAGTGAAAAAGAAAAGACGTGAAATAGCAAATAATTATTGGTGATCTTTTTGATTGGATTGCCTTGTTTTCCCTTTGCAGGCCATGTGGGAGGATATTAAGATGAAAACTAGGTGGGTGAGTGTCAATAAGTGCTACTTTCCTGCTGATTTGCCACAAGCCGTTGGCCGTCCTTGTGGCCTGGAAAGCAGTGAGGTGAATTTTAGCTTTTATTTCCATGCATTTATTATCTGTTATGTTAATTTTTTCCCGTGCTGACCCAGTTACAAGCTTTCAGTTCCTATTGGCTAGCATCTTCCTTAATTACTTTTATCCATTAGAAGATGCTAATAAATTGAACAAGGTTTCTGTAGATATAGTTGACAGACTTTGAGACAAGATATAATGTTCAAACACCTTATTAAAAATTAGAAATGTGGAAGAAATTGGTTGGTTAAGCTTTCAGGTTCCCAGGCGACAATTGACTGGAGAGTACACCAAAAGTTTTACCTAATGAGAAGCTTTCCTTGTGCTTTTTCTAAATCATGTTGTGTAATGATTGGATGGCAGAGTATTAGCCAATATCACCAAATGTAAAATGAATAAAGTTACGGTCTGTCTGATATATAGTGGGCTTTAGGGTAAATTGAAGATGCATTAATTGTAAATTGATAAGCCTAAGGAACTTGTCAAGAACTTTACAATTGATGGAGAATTCGATGGTGGTGGTTCTATTGCGGTCTGGAGTTGGATTTTTAATTTCAAGTGTTTTATCGATGAAGAAGAGAATGGATTGGGCATGAACAAAATTAACTACTTAAAAGTTTCACTTGTTACTTGAGAAAATCATGTCATTGGAGTGATTAAAGTTTAACAGCTCAGAAAATTTTGATAAAGGAAAATCAAGAACTAGTTCTCTGCTTTATGAATTTACAATTTAGCTAGACAATTTGGCCCTTGCATGTCTGGTTGACATGTTTACTTTACTAGTTAATGTATGCTCAACTCCTTAACTTCCGTCTTGCTCTCTGTAGGTCTATGAGTCTACTATTAGTTGCACAGTAATGGCTGGCTTGGTACAAGGCCTTTGTGAAGTTCTTCCTCCTGGAAGATTCATTGAAGAAAAAGAAAAGAGAACCAATGGAGGAAAAGGCCGAATGAGAGTTTACAGCCACTTTACGTATGCAAGTATGTTGCTACATAGTTTTATTGTTTAATCATGCACTAATCTTCTGTCAAAGGTCTATGATTGTGAAATATCTCTGTTAGCACCTTTTGACTTTCTCATCTATTCTTCCAGTACGTGTATCTCTATTATACGAAGCTTGTTATGAGTATTGATGCATCTATTTTTATTTTTGTCTGACAAAAATTCTAGCTCTCTTTAATTCTTTAATTTTTAAATGTCTGAAATTGAAATGGTTTAGCAGTGAAACATTTATTTTCTTTGATTAAAAATCTTTGTTGTGTCCATACGAAGAGCCACCTTCTCATGCCATGAACTGTCTAGGAGTCCCTCCTGTGTCTGTTGTCTCTTTCTCTGTATGCATTGTATGTGTGAGTATAAGTGCTTGGAGTGAGGAAATTGATGTAGATATCCAGCATTAAGAGATCGGATAAAATGGTTTGTGCTGGGGGAACTATATTTGTGCATATATGTACACTAGTACCTATAATTTTCAGGAATACTGATCAATATATTGGACTGCTTTGTCAAATTTAAAGCCAAGCAAATTGTGGCTGTTCTATTGTTGATGCTGGATGCTTCGGGTCAGAATCTTGAAATTTAACATAACACTTATTACAGGAGGGAAAACCTATTGTCATTGACACTTGCACCACCGATTATTGCTGTTTTTGTCCTTGTTGCCTTGTTTTGGTCTCTGATTAATTCTTAAACTTTTGGCAGATGGATTTATGATGAACCAAAAGGGCTGTTTCGTGATGTTAACTGCTAATCAGTCAATTACCAATCATTTTGGGTGTCAATGTCCTTGGGCTTTGGATGCAGCTACCCTCTACTAGACTTTCTTCAGGTAAAACATCTCCCAGTTCCTTTTTCCCTGCCAGGAGGGGTTCACGGCAGTGGATGGGGAGGGGGTGTAGGGTTTAGGCTGTTGGGTTTGGTATTCTGGCGATATAATCTTTCATGTTCCTTTGTAAGAGTAATTTGATTTACAACCTAAATCCAGCATTTTGGTTACGTAGATTCGGCTTGCATGTCAAGTATTGGCAATATAAGCATCTTTTTGGTCTGATGAAAAGTTTGGTCGCAATTCTGCTCCAGTGTCTTTTATTGTGCCCTTCTATCACAAATGCCTAACATTGTGAGTGCCAGGCCAACTTATCCAAGCAATTCCCCACCCCACCCCCCCTGCTTCTTCCCCTTTCTGCCCTGACAACATTGGCCATTGAAAAATCCAGACTATTGATGAGTAATATTTTGTTTGCATTCTTCTGAAGTAATGGACATGGGGACTTAGGCCTAAGCTGTCAGAAAGAAGTACTTGAAACTTTATCTAAAACTAGAATACCGGTTCCTCTTTGATTTGTCTGCAGCTGATTGTAAGTTGTGGGCTTATGAACAGGTGGTGGTGGCAGCAGAGGCCCCGGGACAACTAATGGTGGAATATTCAGTTCGTGTACAATCTGTAGTTCTTTTAATTTGGTTTTCTTTTGGGCTAGAAATTATAGCTTTTACAAGTACATGTATCGGTTCTCATAATAGTTTATTGAAAATTTTCTAGTTGTAGTCCAGAGTAGGAACCTTGTCATGCCCTTTTCTATTTTTTTTTTGGGTCAAAATTACTCGACATCCTGGGTGACTTGGCGTATCTGATATAACTGGCTGTTTTCAGCTCTCTTCCGCAATTGCGTAATATGTTGTCCTGGATGAAGACAATCACAAAGATAGAAATTAATATGTTTTTTTCGATCATTATGAATTATTCGTGCATTTTTCGTTTGGGGCTGTAATAGTAACTTTTACTTCTTAACAACAGTCCGTCGGAGTGGGTGTTTTTATTGAACTTCAGTGTAGAAAAATAATTGTTATAGACGGTTAGAAGGTGTGTGGTTTTTTGGCTTTTTTTTTTTTTGCGATATTTTCTTCGTTCCCTTCTCTGCCCCTCCCCCTACCTACTCCTTGCACCCCGTAGATGACCTATCCATCACTATTGCCCTCTTTCACCGCTATCCCTCCCTACTCCCTTCCCTATCTTTTGTCCTTGCTCCTTTCTTCCTTTCCCTTTCTTTCCTCCTATTCTTCGCCCACCATCCACAATCTAGACCAGATCAGTCATGGTTGGATGGAGGAAAAAGAAGAAAAGCGGAATGGAAAAGGAGAAGGAAGAAGGGAAATGTGGAAAAAAAAGGAACAAGGGAAAGGGAGGTGAAGGAGAAAAGTGGAGGAAAGAGTGGATGAAGGAAGTAGAGGTGGCGATGATGGCAGAGGTGCAGCCATAGGCGTGGGTTTTTGGATGAGAGAGGGGGAGGGGGAGAAGTGAAGAGAAAGGGGCTTATTTCGATGGTGGTAGTTGGGAGGAGTGAGAGTGTGGTGGTGGTGGTGGAGAAAGAGGTGATTATGTTGTGTTGGTGTGTTTGTAGATTTTGTTGGAAATAAAAACTATTTTTGACAAAAAAAAATCAAAATATTGAGTTATTATTGATAAAATGTCAATCTTTTCTTTCTAAAAAGATTACCCAAGTCAATTCAAGAATATAATTGTTTGGATAAATTTTTGTTTTTTGCTAATAAATTTTGGGGAGATTCTAAAATTTCTTTGGGTAATGAAATAAGTGTTCTTGACTCTTAGGTTATAACAAGTTTATAAATAAATCAACAATGAAATAAGTGTTCTTAACATTTACGTTAACAAGTTCATAAATAAATCAATATCATCACTGATGAATATATATTGAGAGAATAATATTCTAAACGGACTATAGGATTTCGTCCAATTTAGATGCATAACAAGAAATAATTCTTTGCAAGTTTAAAATTTGAACATATGATATACATACAAATAATTTTCTCAAGTTTGGATGCATAATAAGTATTTTTATTCAAGTTTAAAATTTGAACATGCGATATATATCTATAAATATTAGGGTGAAAGAATAAATCATTACACTGTTAATCAAGAAAAAATTAATTTGTAAACTGTGGGGGGGGGGGGAGGGGGGTTTTTTGTGAAATATGAATTAAGCTTGTTAGTTTATTCATTAATAATCAAATTAAGGTAAGACAAGGTTTAATATTGATTGGCTCTTAGATTTAACTTGAGTTTGGTTAGATAAAAGAATAATGTGTTTGGATTGAGTATTATTTGAAATAATATTATAATATTTTTTTATGATTTGCTATCTGAAACAAAAAGATGATCGAAACATAAAAAAAAAAAAAAATTGCTGGAAATATTTTATAATTTGTAACACATAGAAGAAATGTGGGGCATTTGAACTGTAACATTTTTTTCTTTCCTTTCTAATCATTCTCAAGTTTCTCGACCCAAAGAGGCAGAGAGACATTTAGCACCCCACACGCCATCGCCATCTTTCGGTGCAAATAATTACATAAACGTCTACGAGGCAACCAATTTAGCAAAAGGTTAGAAAAGAAAGGAAACTTCTTACATCAAAATTGAAGACGCTTTGTGTGCGAGTTGAGAAGAGCAAAGATGGCAGGGGAAAACGAACCAGCAAAGCTGTTATTGCCTTATCTTCAACGAGCCGATGAATTGCAGAAGCACGAACCCCTCGTTGCTTACTATTGTACGATCATATTCTATAATTCTTTCATCATCGTGCATATATATATTTTTTAATTTTTAAGTTCAAATAGTGATGTGCTTGTATTATTGTGCTGATTATGCAATCAGATTAGTACTTTACTTAAACCCTAACTTTTGCTATTTGCTGATTTCGGAAATTCGACGTCTTTTGGTTGTTAGGTCGATTATATGCGATGGAACGAGGATTGAAGATCCCCCAGAGCGAGCGTACTAAGACCACCAACTCTCTCCTCGTTTCCCTCATGAAACAACTTGAGAAGGTTTTTACTTTCCCCTTTCTTTTATATTTTTTCTATATATTCTTTTGGTACAAAGCCGATCATTTGAGAGATATTATATGATGACGATACTCCATTTTGGAGTCTTGTTGGAGCTTTTTTGTTGGTTATCTCTCTTTCTAACTTTGCTTTTATAGATTCTTCGTGAGAATGTTTATGCAATTAGTTGATGATGTATGTTACGTGTATCAGGATCAAGCTTCTCTTAAAAAATAATACCCTTTTTTCTTTAATTTTTTTAAAGTTTTTTATTTGGTTTTGGAAGTGATGGACTTTGTTGTTATGTACAAAAGAAAATGATTGAATCTTTCATATCTCTGAGGGATTGTTCGTCTTTCATTAATATTCCTACTGCCATACTTCAGAAGTTGGTTAAACTTTCAGGAAGAAGAAAATCTCTTACTACAGGTAGTTTCTTTCCTATCTTCTGCCCTTTTTGGTACAGGACAAAAAGTCACTGCAGCTGGGGCCTGATGATCATTTACACCTTGAGGGATTTGCCATGAATGTGTTTTCTAAGGCAGACAAGCAGGATCGTGCTGGAAAAGCTGACCTGTATGATACTTTGCTTCCACTGCACCTCTTTAATCTAGGCAGTGATATGATCTTCATATTATGCTTAATGTATTTTTAGGCCAAGGTCTGATCTGTGGCTTCTGGTCAATGCTTCAAGTATTAAAATCGCTGGATTCGTTACTGTTGAGCTTGAGGCTGTCATGTGTAACCATGTGTCTCTTGAAGTATTCATTTTATTGTTTTCTGATTATGAGAAAGAGCTAGCTTTTCTTAGAATATCAGACCTGAAGTTTTACTTAGGTAATTGAACTTGTATTTGTCGTGCATGCAAGCAGTCACTTTGTCACATTGCTTTCTTCAGCTTTGTAGTGAGAACATACCTGTTATTTTTTCTATAACCTCATATACATGAAGTTCTGGAATCCAATTTTAAGCTATAGTGGCTTATTGATGAGAGTTAATATAGTCGTCCCACTTGATATGGTTATGCGATAATTGTTTCTTAGACATTTTTATACTTTTTTTTTATGACTCATGCCAATCATCCCAGCTAGATTTACTGATTTTGTTGTTTTCTTGTGAAAAAATGTATGTCTTGGTGTGATGAATATGTATTAGCTATTTTTTGCTTAGGAAGTTTGCTTTTGATGATTGTGGCTTTAGAAAACACATACACATATAGGGTTGCATTCATGCTTGGCTGATCAGCTTCTTACTTGCCTTTTATGGCATTTAGTTAATGTGGCATAAATGTCATCTTCTTTGTTCGTCAATGAAATTTGGTTTTCTGTCAATAGTTCCTCAAGATTTTGTCAATTCCACATTGTCAATCTACACAATATGTCTGTAAACAGTATAATTTGCTACATCTCCTACAGGAACACTGCAAAGACTTTTTATGCTGCTAGCATTTTCTTTGAAATAATCAACCAGTTTGGTGAACTTCAGCCTGATGTGAGTTTCTGATGAAAAATTTTGATAGTTTTGTTTGTTCATTTTGTTTGTTCATCCGTGATTGTTTACATTTGAAGGTAATTTTATGATCTATGTGCTAACACTGTTGAATTTGCTTGATCACTTCTTTTTATCAGCTTGAACAGAAGCAGAAATATGCGGCCTGGAAAGCAGCAGATATCAGGAAAGCTTTGAAAGAAGGAAGGAAACCTGTACCAGGTCCTCCTGGGGGTGAGAAGGACTTGTCTGTGCCACCAAGTACATCAAGTGGTGAATACGTATGACCTCAATCCCTATTGTATATCTTTAGTTGTTGCAATCAATGTGGCCTAGAGGCAAGTTGAAACTTTATTCATTAAGAAGTAGGGACCACTAGAATGAGATAGGCAGAGTTTGGGTTTCTCAAGCTATCATGGGAAATCATTTACTTCTAAGTTTGGAAATCCCCTCTTAGTTCTGCTGTATATCTTCTTCCTCTTCCATTTTTTTCTTTTAAAGATTAAGTAATGGATCACTAAGTTGGTTATTATGCGCCTGGGATTTTGAGTTATGCATGAATTTCTGGCTCAAGGCTAGACATACTATTTTGTGAAGTAGCATGAAGAAATCCAAAAGCTGATTTGAACTTCTTTTTGGGGCAATTGAGTTGGTGTGCAGGCTAATGATGCTGACCTTGCTTTTTTCAGGACCTTGAATCAAGAAGTACTGACCCAGCACTTCAGGACGTTGAACAGAGAAGAACTGATGTGCCTTTCCAGGACATTGAACTGAGAAGTGATACCGCTATTAGACCCCAACCGGAGCCGATTATCCACCTCAACCGGGAAGTGATGCTGCTACGAGACCTACATTTGAGTCAGATTCGTCTCCTCAAACATATGACACAGTTAACTTCCACCATTCTGCAAATATTCCTCCCCCTTCCAACCTAGTGGCATCACCTTCGTCAAATTTACCTCCATCTCCTTATCCTGCTGATGATTATCCTACACATACTTTCCATCAGCCTCCTTCAACCAACGGATCTGAAAATTATTCCCAATTCTATCATCAACAAGCATACCGACATGAAGCCCAGCAGCACTATCCTTCACATGATGTTCCCTCTTACTCATATCCCCATTTTCAGTCTTATCCTAGTTTTACTGAGAGTAGCCTTCCCACTGCTCCATCTCATTATCCTTCACAATATCAAGGCTCTGATGCTTCCTATTCTACAACATCAGCTCCTAGTACCACCAATTATGCATCAGGTACACAGTATAATTCACCTGGTGGAAATGGGAGTGTTTCAGAAGCCTAAAATAACTGCTGCACAAACATATCACTATGACAGCAGTTACCAGCCTCCGCCTGAAAAGATTGCTGAAGCACACAAGGCTGCAAGATTTGCAGTTGGAGCCTTGGCATTTGATGAGGTTTCTGTTGCTGTGGATTTCCTTAAGAAGTCACTTGAGTTATTAACACTTCCATCTGCTGGTCACTGAATTCTTTATTTGGATATTTGCTTTGG